AGTGGTAGCGCCACGCCCTACACAGTAGCCAGCGCGCTGGCGCCCCTAGCTCTCACTGTCGCGACCCTTGCAGCCCGTGCACTGCCCCTGCGACCGCGCTGCCCCTGCAGCCGTGCTCGCCCCTACGACCGTGCTGCCCCTGCAGCCGTGCTCGCCCCTGCTACCGTGCTGCCCCTGCAGCCGCGCCTGCCCCTGTGGCCCGCGCGCTGCCCCTGCAGCCCGTACGTCGCTCCTGCAGCCCGTACGTCGCCCCTGCAGCCCGTTCACGCTGCCCCTGCAGCCCGTTCACACTGCCCCTGCAGCTCGCGCGCGGACCTGCCGAGCCGTGCGTCGCCTCTGCAGCCCATCCGCGCGGCCCCTGCAGCCCGCGCGTCGCCCCTGGAGCCCGCGCGCCGCCTCTGCGGCCCGTTCGCGCCGCCCCTACAGCTCGCGCGCGGACCTGCCAAGCCGCGCAGCCCCTGCAGCCCGTACGAGCTGCCCTTGCAGCCAACGCGGCGCCCCTGCAGCCCGCGCGTCGCCCCTGCAGCCCGCACACCGCCCCTGGAGCCCGTGCGTCCTGCCCCTGCAGCCCGCGCCCTAACGCAGCCCACGAGTCGCGCGCTGCTGCCTCGCGCGTCGCGCTCTGCTGCAGCCCGCGCGTCGCGCCCTAAGGCAGCCCGACGCGTCGCGCTCTCCTGCCCCTCGCGTCACGCACTGCTGCAGCCGGCGCCAGCGCCCTGCCCTGCACGCGCTGGCGCCCTGCCCTGCGCCAGCGCCCTGCCCTGCGCCCGCGCCCTGCCCTGCGCCAGCGCCCTGCCCTGCGCCACCGCCCTGCTATTTCCTAAATATAATTAAATTGTTTATTCAAACAAAAAAAAAGGGGCCCTAGGTGCTTCTGCCCTAGGAGCTACTGCCTACTACTGCCCTGCTCTGGCCGCGCGCCGCCCTGCTGCTGATACTACTGCTGCTGCTGCTACTCGTGCTACTGGGAGTGGTGGAGGTGCTGCTGGGAGTGCAGGAGGTGCTGCTGGCGCTGTAGGAGCTGGAGGTGCTGGACCTACTCCTGACCGTCACTGTCTGTCATAGCCACTTCCGCGGCAGTTGCTGCGGCCAGGGGTGGACAGCAGCGGGCACTACTTCTCCCAGACGACCCCACCCCTCGGCAGCTTCGTGAGTGGGTTATTCAGCGAGGTCGTCCTGGTGGTGGAGGTTATCGTTCTGTTAGGACTGCTGCTCTAGGTGCTAGTGAGTCTGCTGCCGCTCCAGGTGCTAGTGAGTCTGCTGCAGCTCTAGGTGCCCGTACGTCTACCGACGATCTAGGTGCTAGTGCGTCTACTACCACAGATCCTGCCTCAGATGAGGTCTTGCACACTTTCACGCTTGACTCAGGCGCGTCACGTTGTTTCTTTCGTGATTGCACCACAGTCACACCACTCATAGCACCTGTCCCAGTCTCACTGGCTGACCCCTCTGGGGGCCCAGTGGTTGCGAGAGCCTCCACGGTCCTCCCTTGTCCAGCAGTCCCCTCCGGCTCTTTGTCAGGTCTCCACCTCCCCACGTTCTCGACGAACTTGGTGAGCAACGCTGCCATTCAGGATGTCTGGGTTGATACCTTTATTCCTGGAGGGCAGCGTGTGGCGATCTGTACGTGCTCCCGGACTGGCCGTCACCTGGCTACGTTCACTCGAAAGCCTGGGTCTAGTCTGTACACACTGACCACTGCGTCTGCACAGGTGGCTGAGTCAGGTCAGGTAGCTGCGTCGAGTCGAGCGTTTGCGTCAGGGCAGTTAGCTGCGTCTTGCTCGTGCAGAGTACTCACGCATGAGACTCAGCGCTGGGACCACCGTCTTGGTCACCCCTCCCTGCAGCGTCTGCGCGGCATGCACTCCCGGCTCCTGGTCTCTGGCCTCCCTGAGACCCTGCCCCCCCTCCCGCGCTCACTTGCGCCGCCGTGCCTTCCTTGCGTCGAGGGGCGGCAGCGCGCCGCTCCTCACTCCTCCGAGTTTCCTCCGACCACTGCTCCTCTGCAGACTCTCCACCTGGACGTGTGGGGCCCGGCCCCCGTCGGTGGGACGGACCAGGAGCGCTACTTCCTGCTGGTTGTTGACGAGTACACACGCTACACCACAGTCTTCCCCTTGTGTTGCAAGGCGGACGTCAGCGGTGTTTTGATCCCCTGGATCCGTGCTACTCGTCTCCAGCTACACGAGCGCTTTCAGCAGGACTTCCCAGTCCTGCGTCTGCACTCTGACAGGGGTGGTGAGCTCTCTTCTGGCGCCCTTGAGACGTTCTGCCAGGATGAGGGCATCGCCCAGTCGTTCACGCTTCCGGCCTCTCCGCAGCAAAATGGGATCGCTGAGCGTCGCATTGGCATGATCATGGAGGTTGCTCATACCTCCATGATCCATGCGGCTGCTCCCTATTTCCTATGGCCGTTTGCGGTCCGATACGCCGCGCATCAGCTCAACCTCTGGCCCCGTGTCTCTGCTCCAGAGACCTCGCCCACACTCCGTTGGACGGGACAGCCTGGTGATGCGTCGTCGTTTCGGGTCTGGGGCGCGCTCTCCCTTGTTCGCGATACCAAAGCGAGCAAGCTCTCTCCTCGCACTCTGCGCTGTGTCTTCCTAGGCTTCCCCACCGACGCTCCACTCTGGCAGTTCTACCACCCTGCCTCGCGTCGTGTTCTGTCCTCTCAGGACGTCACCTTTGACGAGTCGGTCTGTTACTACCGACTTCACCCGCACGCGTCCCACCCGGTCCCCCTTGCACCCCTCTTCCTGGTACCAGTCCCCCCCCCGGTAGACCCCCTCCCCCCACAGGGTCCTGCTCCCTCAGGTGTGTCCCAGGTAGACCCACCCCCCTTGGATGAGCCAGTTGAGATCTCTTCTGACTCCTCTGACTCACCTGAGGGGGGTGACGCCGTAGCCGACGACACGGCGACCACTCGCCGCACTCCTCGCTTGGCGACCCCCCCGGGTTTCCCGCCACGGCCGTCTTCGCCGCCTCCGCAGCCTGCTGCTGTGGACTCTGGAGCTGAGACTACTGGAGCTGGGACTGGGGGTGGTGAGTCTGGGGGTGCCCGCTCTCCTCGTCTGGCTACCCCCCCTGGGTTCACACCTCTGTCGTCTTCGCCGCCTCTGCAGCCTACTGCTGTGGACACTGGAGCAGAGACTGAGGGTACTGAGCCTGAGGGTGCTGGGACTGAGGGTGGTGAGACTGAGGGTGCTGAGACTGAGGGTGCTGGGACTGAGGGTGCTGAGCCTGAGGGTGCGGACTCTGGGGGTGCTGAGACTTCGGGTGCTGACTCTGGGGGTGCTGCGAGTCCTTCTGGAGGTCCTGGAGCTGGAGGTACTGGAGCTACTAGGCCTGGAGGTCCTACTGGAGGTACTAGAGGTACTACTGGTGCTGGAGGTACTGGAGCTGCTGCTGGTGCTGGAGGTGCTGGAGTTGGAGGTACTAGAGGTGCTTCTGGTGCTGGAGGTGCTAGAGCTACCACTACTGGAGGTACTGGAGCTGGACAGCCACCGCAGCCTGCTCTACTTGAGACGCTCTCGCCGCAGGCGATTCGTGCGTGGGTCGTTCTGCGAGGCAGTCCTGGTGGTGGAGGGTACGGTCCTGCCGGTGCTGGAGGTACTGGAACTGGAGGTACTGGAGCTGCTGGTGCTGGAGGTACTACTGTTACTGGAGGTGCTGGAGCTACTGGCACTGGAGGTGCTGGTGCTACTGGTGCTGGAGCTGCGGGAGCTGCTGACCCTGGAGGTGCTGGTGCTGCTGGTGCTGGAGGCGTTGGCGCTGGAGGTCCTGGAGGTGCTGGAGCTACTGGTCCCGGAGGTGCTCGTACTGGAGGTGCTGGAGCTGCCGGAGCAGGTGGTACTGCTGGTGCTGGAGGTGCAGGAGGTGCTACTGGAGCTGCTGGCACAGGAGGTATTGGAGGTACTACTGGTGCTGGAGGCGCTGGAGCTGGAGCTGGAGGCACTGGAGGTGCTGGAGGTACTACTGGTGCTCGAGGTGCTGGCGCTGTCGGAGCTCGTGGTGCTGGAGGTGCTGGTGCTACTGGTGTTGGAGGTGTTGCTCGGGGTACTGGAGGAGCTGCTCGTGCTGGAGGTATGGGAGCTACTGGTGCTCTTCGCCACCTTCTCAGTCTTCCGCCAGGTGCTACTGACTTCCCTGTGGCAGGTACTACTCCTCAGTTACTGTTTCCACCGGCGGACCAGTCACAGCCGCCGCTGTTACCGCACTCCCCACTGCCTGCTCCTGCTCCTTACACTGCGGTGTCAGAGTCCCTGACTGAGCGTCGAGAGCCTGAGACTCGTGCGTCCACCCCTGAGCGTCGAGAGCCTGAGTCTAGCTTTGACCTTGAGCCTGAGCCTAGAGCTGTTGTCTGTGCTCGTGTTCCTCGTGTTCGTCGTCCGCGTGCTCCGGCTGTCCCCGGTACTCACGATATGACACTCCGTCCTTCCTCTGTTCCTCAGCGTGTTGTCCTACCGTTACCTCCTGCGTCCTCTCTGCCTGACGTTGCTGACCCTCCGTCTGACCTTGCTCGTGCGTCCAGTCCGACTGTTACTCGCCTTCTTGCTACGGTTGTGACGGACCCTGCGTTCTCGTCTCCTGCTGCGTCTGCCCTCGTAGCTGAGCTCGTTGACTTTGCTGCTGTGTACCGCCTAGACTACCTTGCGAGTCTTGTCTCTGACCCTGTCCCTGCCTGTCCTCCGTCCGTCGGGGGTGAGACTGCTCTTGGCTGTACTGCCCTTGGCTGTGACGTTCTTGAGGACAGACAGGAGGAGCTGGAGTGCCTTGCTGCCGCTTCACCCCATCACGCGACCATGCTGCTTGCCCCTGAGGGAGACCCGGATGCACTTGACATCCCCACCCCGAGCTCCTACAGGGAGGCGATTTCGAGTGAGTACTCCTCTCAGTGGCAGACAGCCATGGATGCAGAGATGGCTTCCCACCTCGCATGTTTCCCAACTCGCATGTTACCCACCTCGCATGTTTCCCACCTCTCATGTTCCCGACCTCGCATGTTTCCGATGTTCCCGACCTCACATGTTCCCTCCTCGCATGTTCTCGACCTCGCATGTTCCCGACCTCACATGTTTCGCCCCACCAGGGGACAGTTTCAATCCCATTACCATTCGCCCCACCAGGGGGCGGTTTCAGCCCCATTACCATTCGCCCCACCAGGGTGCGGTTTCAGCCCCATTACCATTTGCCCCGCTAGGGGGCGGTTTCAGCCCCATTACCATTCGCCCCACCAGGGGCTGTTTCAGCCTCATTGCCATTTGTTACAATCCCAAGTGGGACTTAGCGAAGGATCGCTCAGGGTTGATCGTAGAGTAGTGTTGCAGCGTTCAACCCTAATTTCATGGGCGCCAGCGGCCCCGTTATTGTATGCCCCGGTTCCCCTTTCTGCGGGTGTGCCTGCGCCGAGAATATCGTTTGCGGCTGCAGCAGCGGCTGGGGGGATGTCGTACGCGCAAAGAGCGGCGCAGGCGCTGAATCGCGCGGCTGCACCGCCCGCCCAAGCGCAACAGGCGCAGGTACAGGCGCAGCAAGCGCGGGTGGGCGGAAGCGGGGCGCAGCAAGCGACAGGTCAAGCGGGGGAAGCCGCGTCACAGGGGAAGGCGGACGCTGCTAAGCCGCCACAGGGCACGGAAACAGCAGCACAGGCGGGTAGCGCATCTCAAGCAGCTGTGCAGAAGCAGCAGGAACAAACACGCACCCAGCAACAACAGCAGCAGCCGTGGCAGGGTCAGAAGCCTCAAGTCCCAGCAGCAGCAGTTGCTGCAGGCACGGGCAGCAGAACTGCAGTTTCCACACCAACCGCAGCAGCAACTGTAATCCCTACAGCCACAGCAACCGCTACCAAGCCTGTTCCGCCGTCCGCCACAACCGCTACTGTTACTGCTGCAACGGTTGCGGCGGCTTCCGCAGCAGCAGCAGCTGTTTCTGCTGCGTCAGGCGCTTCTGCCCCAGCCCAGTCGTTCGCAGCGGCAGCTGCTGCTGGGGCCGCGGCTGCATCTTCCAAAGTGCCTGCCGCAGCGGCCACCAAACCAGGCCAAACGCCTGTTCCCCAGACCTCCAGCGCAGGCTCGGCAGCAGCACCGGCGGGATCCCTCACAGGGTTCTTGTCAGCTGCGCGCGCAGGGCTAGGGGAGGGCGCAGGCACAGGCGCAGGGGCATCTGGTGGAGCGGGGGCGGACGGGGGTCAGGGAGCAGCGGGCGGGGCGAAGGGTAGCGCGAAGGGGGGGGCGAAACCACCGGTGAAGGCTCCTGGTCCTGCTGCGGCTGTAGCGGGGCCTCCTGCTCTTCCCCCTGGCGTATCGCCTGTAGCTCTGCAGTTCGGCACGTTCAACCCTAATTTCATGGGCGCCAGCGGCCCCGTTATTGTATGCCCCGGTTCCCCTTTCTCTCACCTTCGCCCTTATTGCAGCGAAATTCAAACCGTGCGGCGCGGGAACCCGTTTCAAACCTGTTCCCGCTCTTTTCACTTCAAATGTTTCTGCCTGCATCGGTCTTGGTCAGACGGTTGCTGCGTCGCTTCGACTCTTCTGACTCCTCGACTTCGTACTCGGTAGAGTCGGCTCCTGCAGCATACTGGAATGCCTTACTCATGTAATTTCATATCGTAACACTCCCCTTCATTCCTGGGCGTAGGAGGAGCTGACTCGCTTGACTACTCCGGTGAGGTCAGAGCAGTGCTTGTACTGCTGACGTGGCAGGCGCTTGGTGAGGAAGTCCGCTGCCATCTCAGTAGTCGGGCAGTAGGCGAGGTCAACTTTTCCTTGGTCAATTTCGTCCTTGACGAAAAATTACCGAAGTGCGATGTGCTTCGTGCGGTTCACGAAACCTGGCTTGTTCGCGATCCTGATGGCGCTCTGGTTGTCACAGTGAAGGCGAAAGGTAGGCGAAGTTGGGATTTTCGCTTCCTGTAGCAGCTCCTGCAGGTACAGGCCTTCGCGAACTGCTGCTGTCGCGGCGATGTATTTTGCTTCAGCCGATGACAGGGCAACCAGCTCCTGCTTCTGCGAGTTCCAGGAGATTGGCCCAGTAGGTTCCAGGCGAAAGACGAAGCCGGTTCGGGACCGTCGATTTGCAGGGTCAGCTGCATGATCTGCGTCCACGTAGCCGTTGAGGTTGAAGGAGGTCGTTGTCAGCGTGGAGTAGGAGAGCCCAATGTCAGGTGTAGAGATGAAGTACTGCAGGGCGCGCTCCAGGTCCAGCTGGTTCTCAGCTACTGGCTTGCGGGAATACTGTGCCAGTTGGCTAGCGATGTACGAAAGGTCGGGTCGGCAGGTGACAGAGGCGAATAGCAGGCACCCCAACTTCTGCTGGTACATTTGGAGCCCTGCGGGTGACAGAGGTTTGTTGTCCGGTTTGTAGTTGGTGCTGGGGTTGCGGTAGGGAGTTGAGAGTGGTGCGGGTGAGATGTTGAAGCGTTCCCCCAGCTGCTCTGCGTACTTGGAGGCTGACAGGTGAATTGCTTCTGGCGCGTAGGTGATGTTCAGCCCCAAGAACTGCTTCACGTTGTGGTTGATAGTGATGTCCACGCGCTGCGCCAGGTTCTCCTCAAACTGGTTAAGGAGTTTGTTGCAGGTGCCCGTGTACAGCAGATCGTCGACGTAGACTGTCAGGAGAATGTAATCGCCGCTGAAGTGGAGGCGATACATTCCCGGGTCGTGCGGCAGCTGCTTGAAACCGATCTCCATAAGAATTTTGTGCAGATGCTGCTGCCAGAGACGGGTGTCAGATTTATATGACATAGCTACTATAGGCTATAGTGGGGTAGCACATATGGGGTACAGTTTTCTAGGGTTTGCTTTTTGTACCCAACTTTCACTTAGTCATTTCATTCCTCGTTTCTTCTCATGGTATCGAGCAGGTTCCCTAGTGGGAACGATTCCTAGGGCCCACCACCACGAAATTTTTTTTTCCTGCCCGGAGCGCGCTTCGCTCCGGCCCGAGTCGCGCCCTGTGTGCTCTCCCTACTGTCGCGCCCTCGCTAGGCCCCTCACGGCCCCGTCGCGTCGCCCTTAGCGACCCTCTCACGGCTCCCTAGCGCCGCCCTTACGGCTCGTCGCGCCGCCCTTACGGCCCGTCGCGCCGCCCCTACGGCCCGTCGCGCCCGTCGCGCCGCCCTCACGGCCCCTCGTGCCGCCCTTACGGCCCGTCGCGCCCGTCGCGCCACCCTCACGGCCCCTTGCGCCGCCCTTACGGCCCCTCGCGCTACCCTTACGAGCCCCCCCCGCGGCCCCCTTCGGCCCCTCCCGTCGCCAGTCGGCCCCTTACGGCCCCCCCCCTCGCGGCCCCTCGAGCCGCCTTCCGCGGCCTCCTCACGGCCTGTCGCCGCCCTCGACGGCCCCTCGTGGCGCCCTTCGCGGCCTCTCCGCCGCTCTTCGCGGCCCCTAGCGGCCGGCGGCCGCCGTCCCTGAGGCAGCAGCCGCAGCCGTCTCTGCAGCAGCAGTCGCCACAGCTTCTACGACTGCTGCCGCGGTCGTCACCAACCACGAGCCGCCCAGCAGCCGAGCACCCGAGCCGCCGAGCAGCCCTGCAGCCGAGCAGCCGAGCCGCCGAGCCGCCGAGCCGCCCAGCAGCCGACCGCCGAACCGCCCGGGCCGCCGAGTTGCCGAGCCGCCCGAGCCGCCCGAGCCGCCGAGTCGCCCGAGCCGCCCGAGCCGCCGTGTCGCCGACCCGCCGCCCTGCCGAGCCGCCGAGCCGCCCGAGCTGCCCTGTCCGGTAAGAGCAGCGCCTCTATCACTGCACTGCCCTTACCCTACTGTTGTTACTGCTAGTCTACTGCTGTCATGGCTACCCCTAGTGTCCTCGCCTTTGACGCTGAGGGTCGGGCCATTGACTTTGACGTCTGGGTAGATGACCTACAGCTTTTCTTACAGTGCGATAGGGCAGACGGTCTCTCCCTCTTTGACCTCACCTCTGGTGCCTCTCCTGCCCCTGCTGCTGATGCCGACGCCACTGTTCGCTCACAGTGGGCCACACGCGATGCTGCTGCACGTCTAGCTGTGCGTCGCCACCTGCCTACCTCTGAGCGAGCGCACTTTAGCCAGTACAAGAGTGCTCACACCTTGTACGACGCTGTAGTTGCGCGCTACTCCTCCCCTGCCAGTGCTGCACTGAGCCGCCTCATGCTACCGTACCTCTTCCCTGACCTTGCTGCCTTTCCCACAGTCGCTGACCTCATTACGCACCTCCGCACTAGTGACACTCGCTACCGCGCTGCGCTTCCTGCTGAGTTCTGCGCCAAGAACCCCCCCCCCATGTACATCACCCTCTACTACATAGTCACCCGGCTCCCTGACTCCCTTCGCGTAGTCAGGGACCACTTCCTCTCAGTTTGCCCCACCACTCTCACCGTTGACCTCCTCGAGAAGGCCCTCCTAGCAGCAGAGAAGAGCATAGTCGCTATAGGAGCCTCCCGTGGTGACCCTCGCACCCCCGTCTTTGAGGGGTGTTCCCCCTCCCCCCTTTTGCCCTCTGTTGCCTCTGCTGCTGCGGCCGACCTCGTTGGTCTCGAGTCGGTCGGCGCTGCGTCTGCCTCGAGCGGGAGACGCCGCACCGGCAAGGGCAAGGGGGGCAAGGGTGTTGGAGGGGCTGGCGGGGGTGGCGGAGGTGGCGGTGGCGGCAGTGGAGGGGGTGGGGGTGGTGGTGGGAGTGGTGGCGGGGGTGGAGGTGTCGGTGGCGGCAGTGGAGGCGGAGGCGGCGGCGGCGGTGGCGGTGGGAGCGGAGGTGGCGGAGGTGGCGGCGGTGGAGGAGGCGGCGGCGGAGGAGGTGGAGCTGGTCGGGGTGGCGCTGGGCAGAGGGTCGGCTCCGGTGGTGGTCAGCGCCAGCAGCAGCAGCAGCAGCGGCAGCAGCGCACTCGTGACATCCCCCCCCCTCAGCAGCTCCGTGAGTGGTACGCTGCACGCCAGCGGGGTGGGGGTACTGGTCCGTGCACCTACGTCCTACGCACCGGCGACCGCGCGGGTGAGCCGTGCGGGGGTGCGCACTCCACCACGCGCTGCTTTGGCCGCCTGACGGACGCTTGGTGTCACCAGTTCCCTGAGGCCACTGAGATCCCCCGCTGGGGCGAGCTGTCTAGGGCGGGTGTAGCTGTCTTTGACCTTGACTTTGATGCTATTCTTGCTGCCATGTATGCTGTGACTATTAGTGATGAGGGTGACTGTTACCGGTGTTTTCCGCCCGACCCGGGCATTGAGACTGCTACTCTAGGTACTGGTGAGGCTGCTGCTCTAGGTGCTAGCGAGGCTGCTGCTCTAGGTGCTCGTGCGTCTGCTCACTCAGGTGCTGGTGAGTCTGCTCTCTCAGGTACTGCGTCGGCTTCGGCCTCCCACACCTTCACCCTTGACTCGGGGGCTTCTCGCTCCTTCTTTCGAGACCGCACCACACTCACGCCGCTTGGCCGGCCAGTTGCAGTCTCTCTGGCAGACCCCTCTGGGGGTCCTGTCCTTGCTCACTTCTCCACTGTCCTCCCGTGTCCGGCGGGCCCCTCTGGCACCCTGTCTGGTCTTTACCTCCCCTTGTTCTCTACGAACTTGGTGAGTGGTGCTGACCTACAGGATGCGGGGGTTCACCAGTTCACTCCTGCGAGTCAGCGGGTGACCCACTGCACGGACGCTCGGGCAGGCCGACACCTGGCCACGTTTACACGTCGGCCGGGGTCGAGCCTGTACACACTGACCACTGCGTCTCCTCCAGTCACTGCGTCTGGTCAGGTAGCTGCGTCGGGTCAGGTGTTTGCTGCAGCGTCCAGGTCTGGTCCTGAGTCTGCCCCCTGTTCGTGTCGCCTCCTGTCGCACGAGACTCTCCTCTGGCACCACTGCCTTGGTCACCCCTCCCTGCTTCGTCTCCGAGGCATGGCCTCCCGTGTCCTTGTCTCTGGTCTTCCCCGGTCCCTCCCTCCCCTTCCTCCGGGGCCCGGCCCTACCTGCGTCCCTTGTGTCGAGGGGCGGCAGCGGGCTGCCCCTCACTCCTCCCAGTTTCCTCCGACAGAGGCCCCGCTGCAGACGCTTCACATGGACGTGTGGGGCCCGGCCCGCGTCCGTGGACAGGGTCACGAGCGCTACTTCCTGCTGGTGGTTGACGACTACTCGCGTTACACCACGGTCTTCCCCTTGCGCAGCAAGGGTGATGTCACTGAGGTGTTGATCGACTGGATCCGCGCAGCTCGTCTCCAGCTCAGGCAGAGCTTCGGCTCGGACTTTCCTGTTCTGCGTCTGCACTCTGACAGAGGTGGAGAGTTCTCCTCTGGCCTTCTGCGAGCCTACTGTCGTGCACGAGGCATCCGCCAGACCTTCACGCTTCCGGACTCTCCACAGCAAAATGGGATTGCTGAGCGCCGCATTGGCATGGTCATGGACGTCGCCCGTACGTCCATGATGCATGCGGCTGCCCCCCATTTTCTGTGGCCGTTTGCGGTTCGGTACGCGGCGCATCAGATCAACCTTCACCCCAGGGTCTCCATGCCGGAGACCTCCCCAGCTTTGCTGTGGACGGGGAAGGTTGGCGATGCGTCTGCGTTCCGTGTCTGGGGTTCTCGG